CACGGGAGAAAGAGGAAGGCCGGAAGACTCAGCAAGTCTGCTCTTGCATCTTCTCCTGCCTGTTTTCTTCTAGCTGCGCTGGCAGCTGATTAGATGGTGCCCACCCAGACTGAGGGTGGGCCTACCTCTCCCAGTCCACTGACTCAATGTTAATTTCCTTTGGCAGCACCCTCACAGACACATGCAGGAACAATACTTTGCATCCTTCCATCCAATTAAGTTGACATTCAATATTAACCATTACAAAGGTCATCACAAGGAAGCCCAGAGCTGAAGTCAGAGTGCCTACCCCAAGTAATAATACCTGCAGCCCTTCTCCAGGTTGACACAGACTCTAGCCCTCAGGGACTAATCCTTGACTCACTTCATTAGGTATGGCCCGTGTGCTTCCCCAGGTGTGGTCCTGGGCTCATATTCATCAGAATCACCTGTGTGCTTAATAAAACTGCAGCTTCCAAAGCCTCACTCAGGCCTATTGAATTCCTCTTGTGGGTGGAGTCAACGAAACTTGCCTTCCCACAGCACCCTGTATTAATCTGTTTTCACATGCTGTAAAGAACTTCCCTGAGACTGAATAATTTATCAAGGAAAGTTGTAATTTACTCACAATTCTGTATGGCTGAAGAGGCCTCAGGAAACACAATCATGGCAGAAGGGGAAGCAGGCATGTCTTACATGGAGGCAGGTGAGAGAGACGAGCCCAGGGGAACTGCCATTTATAAAACCATCAGATCTCGTGAGAACTCATTCACTATCACGAGAACAGCATGGGGGAAACTGTCCCCATAATCCAATCGCCTCCCACCAGGTCCCTCCCTCAACACATGGGGATTATAATTCGAGATGAGATTGGATGGGACCACAGCCAAACTATATGACTGTCCTAGGTCAGTTTCCTAGAACCAGAGCTAAGAGGAGGGTTCTTGTGAGGCTAATTGACTGGGGGAGCATTGCCCTGTGAAGGAGAATGAGGGAACAGCATAGGGCCAGAGAAGCAAGTTAAGGATGTGGTCCTCAGTGGAGACTGGCTCCAGCCCAGTCCCACGGGGAGCTCCAGAACACGGACTGCACCTGGTTGTCCATCTTGACACAAGGGGATGGCCTTTTGTGTCGTCATTGTACCCAAGCAAAAGTTATCCTCTGCTCACAAACTGCTGCCTGCAGGAGCAGGTGGTTCACGTGTTTCAGGAGTAAGCGCCCCAGGCAGTTAACCCACCTATGCCAGGACAGTTTAATGGAGCAGCTCTAAGCCCCTAGCAGCCAACACTCACAGCAGACCCTCAGCAATCGATTCACAGCACTCCCAGGAGATTCAAGCCAGAGCGAGATGGCTTGGCCAATAAAGCTGAAGGAAGCCGCAGATGGACATACTTGTCCTTCTTCTCCCATGAGGAACTAGACTAACTTAGCCGCCAACCAAGACAAAAGGGTTCTTTACGGAGTGGTGTCCTCATAATCACCTTCATTTCTTGCCCAAGGCAATTTTAGCTGCCTAAACCTGTACCACATAGGCAAGAGAATCCAGATGTTGTCATGAGCCAAGAGAGACTCCATGATGGGAAAGCCTATATAAGGGGCCAGCCCCCTGGAAGTACCCCATCCCTGCGTTATCTAGTTAGAACGGTTGTCTGGCACAGTGGCTCACGCCTGTAATCCCAACATTTTGGGAGGCCGAGGTGGAAGGAGCTCTTGAATCCAGGAGTTTGAGACCAGCCTAGGCAACATAGCAAGACCCCCTCTCTACAAAAAAATTAAAAATTTAGTTGGGCGTGGTGGTGCACACCTGTGGTCCCAGCTAGCTGGGAGGCTAAGGCGGGAGGATCACTTGAGCCTGGCAGGTGAAGGCTGCAGTGAGTCATGATCTTGCCACTGCCCTCAGCCTGGGCAACAGAGTGAGACCCTGCCCCACCCCAAAAAGGATGAAGATTTTTTTAAAGAGAAAGTAAAAGAGAGAGAGAGACAGAAAGAGAGAGAGAGAGAGAGAGAGAGAAACTGTCATCACTGGGCAAGTAGACAGCGAAATCGATGCCAGCCACACACGTAAGGCTTTGATTTGACTTCTTAGAATCAGTAGGGAAAATATCGCTCATCTCTCAATTTTGTCTCAGGATTTTATCTCCTAATACTGTCCCCACAGCCTTTGCTTTTGACCCGGCACACTTTAGAAGAGGGCTTACCAGCTGCTGCTTTTCAGGATAAATCAGTGTGTCCAAAGCTCTGCCGTCTGCTCCCTACTTCTTCCAAGCAACATTCATGTACCCTGTTTCCTTCTGAACCCGGCCCTGCACGAACCCCCCAGACACATGCCAAATTCTCACATAGATCAAGATGAGAAACCCACATACCCCACTTTGTTCTTGCCTTTGCTTCAAAATAAATTAAAGCTGAAGACAAAGAATCTAACAGGAAATGAAAACAAAAACCCAATTTACCAAAAAAGCTAGTCATTTACCCCCTGGAGGTACGAATCGCTCACGCCTTGCTCTGAATCAGGGCACTGAATAAGAAACCTGTGTGTTAAATGTATATTTCAGCTTTACCTCAGATGACTAATGGGTGTTGTGCTGTGTTTTGTTCTGTTTTTTGTTAAACTCACAGAGATAATTATTTACTTAATAAAATTTAAACTGTTAACGTAGCATAATTGGAAGCTGAGGGTAGTCATTTTCTCCCCCGCCCCCTCCCAGTTGCAGGTGACATGGCCATATATTAGACAACACAATTATGATTCTATAGTTTTGTGAAAAATTAATGGAGGGGAAATCCACAGGGCCTCATCTTCTTCAACAGCCTTCCTGCAGGTGCTTTTCAGTCCTCTCCCAAACTGAATGGCTAGCCCTTATTTCTAACTGATCCGTGTTCTCTATCCCCAGGAAAAGGGTCTGTTTTACAAGCTTACTATTCAGGGCAGAAGAGGCTGGCCACTTGTAAGTTCTCTTCTTTTTAATTTACCAGCTTTTAAGAGCTAAGAATAGTTTTGAACCATCCAAGTGAACCACTGGGCAAATGCCCAGTGGTCAGAGGGTAACAGGATCGGGAAACATTAGGAATAGATGAAGCCTGGGTGATCACAGAACACAGCCCGCACATCACGGGGGTGAACTAACTAGGGATATGTCTCAGCTGAGACCTGGGTGATCACAGAACACAGCCCGCCCATCACGGTGGTGAGCTAACTAGCGATGTGTCTCAGCTGATACCTGGGTGATCACAGAACACAGCCCGCCCATCACGGGGGTAAGCTAACTAGCGATGTGTCTCAGCTGAGACCTGGGTGATCACAGAACACAGCCTGCCCATCACGGGGGTGAGCTAACTAGGGATGTGTGTCAGCTGAGACCTGGTTCAGTAGAAGGACTGGATCTGTTAATAGTGGAAGGGATCCGAGTTACCCCCCCGCCGCAGGGTATCCATATGAGTCCACAGCAACTTCAGTCCTTGCCTCCTCAGAAGAAAGAATTCAACTGAGGGCCATAAAGCAGAAAAAGAGACGGAGGCAAGTTTCAGAGCAGGGGTAGAAGTTTATGAGAAAGGTTTTAGAACAGAAAAGAAAGGGAGGAACCCTTGGAGGAGACCCAAGTGAGCGCCTGAAGGTCAAAGAGAGAAAAAGAGCCCCTTTAACCTTAGGCTCTCCTCTTTCCCATGATCTTCCCCTAGGGTGTGCTTTCCGCATGCGCAGTGCTTTCCTTACCCTTTGGAACTGAGCAGGTGCAGTGTGTTTAGGGTGTTACATGCCTGCCCATCTGAGGCTTTTTCTTTTCTCTGGTGGCGTGTGCCCCCAACCCCTAGCATCATACTTTGCCATTTTGTCGCTTAACATGCATGCCCAAAAAGCTGCTTCTTCCTGGGGTCTGCATCCAATTAACACTTTTTTTTTTTTTTTGAGACAGTCTTGCTCTGTCACCAGGGTGGAGTGCAATGGCGTGATCTCTGCTCACTGCAACCTTCGCCTCCTGGGTTCAAGCGGTTATCCTGCCTCAGCCTCCCGAGTAGCTGGGACTACAGGTATGCGCCTTGACACGCAGCTAATTTTTGTATTTTTAGTGGAGATGGGGTTTCACCATGTTGGCGAGGATGGTCTTGATCTCTTGACCTCATGATTCATCCACCTCGGGAGAGCGTCAGACTGAAGATCTAAAGGTCCCTGGTTTGATCCCGGGTTTTGGCCATTAACATTTTTAATGCTAACAGGTATGGACCATCCAGAGATTGTCTCTCCCTGGCTACCCAATTATCATTTTTAGAGCAGCAATGTGATAATTGCTGAACCATCACTTGATATTCCTAGCGGGTTGGGGAAGAGCCCTCTCCTGCCTCGCTGAGGTCCGTCTAACTACCTAGAACAGATCTAGACCCAGACTGAGTAATGGGCCCCTCCCCTGGTGCTCCTGCCCAGTGTCCCACCCTGCATATGGCCTTTTCCCAGGCAGCTCTGTGGGGCTCTTCTGATTTAGGAATGGACCATCTTTCTGGGGTGACTGAGTTTCCACACAGCACCCTGGGAAATGTGATACCCAGGGAATAAGTTAACCTCTATTTCCAATGCATTCCACAAATCGCTCTAGTTGATCAAAATATGGTTCTGGAATCATGAAAATAAAGTATAAGTGTGGTGCATGTCATGAGAATACAAAATGGTACTTCCTAGAACCCATTTTATTTTTAAAATTTATTTATTTATTTATTTATTTTATTTTTTTTTTTGAGACGGAGTTTCACTCTTGTTACCCAGGCTGGAGTGCAATGGCGCGATCTCGGCTCACCGCAACCTCTGCCTCCTGGGTTCAGGCAATTCTCCTGCCTCAACCTCCTCAGTAGCTGGGATTACAGGCACGCGCCACCATGCCCAGCTAATTTTTTGTATTTTTTATTAGTAGAGACGGGGTTTCACCATGTTGACCAGGATGGTCTCGATCTCTTGACCTCGTGATCCACCCGCCTCGGCCTCCCACAGTGCTGGGATTACAGGCTTGAGCCACCGCGCCCGGCTTATTTATTTATTTTTTAAGGTGTGCACTTTTATTCAACTGGTCTCCAGTCAGTGTACAGGTAAGCCCTGGCGGCCTCCACCCACTCCCAGGAGACCAAAAGCCTTCATACATCTCAAGCTGGGGAACAAAAAAGGGGTAGTCACAAAGGCTGATCATTCAAAATAAAAAAGTATTGAGGCGAAGATTAAAAATTTTTTGCGTTACATAATTTACATGAAGCAATGCTGTCACCTCCCCTGTGTGGACTCAGGAGAGGACTGGGCCATTCTCTTTAGAGAGAAGTGGGGTGGCTTTTGGAAGGGCAAGGGACTTCCTATAACAATGCATCTCATGATATTTGGAATGATCATTAAAAAAAAGAACAATGTACAATCAAAGTCCTTGGCCACATTGTAGAACTTTGGGGGATGCTCGCTCCAACTGACTGCTGTCGCCTTCACCATTTCAGTTTTTAAATCCCGAGTCAAGACAAAACAAAAACAATCTACAACAACAAAAAACAAAAAACCCAACCCCCCCCCCCAAAAAAAAACCAAAGCCGTGCCAATCTCATCTTGTCTTCCGCTCAAGTTTGTCAGGAAAGGGTGTAACGCAAGTAAGTCACATCTGCCTAGAGGCGTTTGTAGTGGACAATGGAGGGACTGGACTCATCGTACTCCTGCTTGCTGATCCACATCTGCTGGAAGGTGGACGCCGAGGCCAGGATGGAGCCGCTGATCCACACGAAGTACTTGTGCTTCGGAGGAGCAATGATCTTGATCTTCATCATGCTGGGCGCAGGGGTGGTGATCTCCTTCTGCATCCTGTCGGCAATGCCAGGGCACATGGTGGTGCCACCGCTAGACAGTACTGTGTTGGCATACAGGTCTTTGTGGATGTCCACATCACACTTCCTGGTGGAGTTGAAGGTAGTTTCATGCATGCCACAGGATTCCACGCCCAGGAAGGAAGGCTGGAAGAGTGCCTCGGGGCAGCGGAGCCGCTCGTTGCTGATGGTGATGACCTGGCTGCCAGGCAACTCCTAGCTCTTCTCCAGGGAGGAGCTGGAGGCTGCCATGGTCATCTCCTGCTCAAAAGTCCAGGGCGACACAGCACAGCTTCTCCTTGATGTCATGCACAATTTCCCAGTTGGCCATGTTGGTGAAGCTGTAGCCACGCTCAGTGAGGATATTCATGAGGTAGTCAGTCAGGTCCCAGCCAGCCAGGTGCAAATGTAGGTTGGCGTGGGGGAGGGCCTACCCTTCATGGATGGGCACAGTGTGGGTGACCTGTCACCGGAATCCATCAGGATGCCAGTGGCATGGCCAGAGGTGTACAGGGACAGCACAGCCTGGATGGCCACATACATGGCTGGGGTGTTGAAGGTCTCAAACATGGTCCAACTTTTCAAGGTTGGCTTTGGGGTTCAGGGGTCCTCAGTCATCAGTACGGAGTGCTCCTCAGGAGCCACACGCAGCTCATTGTAGAAGGTATGATGCCAGATCTTCTCCATGTCCTCCCAGTTGGTGATGTTGCTGTGCTCGATGGGGTACTTCAGGGTCAGGAAGCCCCTCTTGCCCCGGGCCCTTGCCGCCCATTTAGGAGTCCTTCTGCCCCATGCCTACCATCACACGCTAGTGCCTGGACACCCCACGATGGAGGGGAAGATAGCTCAGAGAGCATTGTTGCCCACCAAGCTGGCCTTGCATATGCCAGAGCCATTTTTGACGATGAACGTGATGATATCATTATCCATGGTGAGCTGGTGGCGGGTGTGGACGGGCAGCGGAGTGGTGAGGGGTGAGGCTCTGTGCCTGCAGGGCAGATGCAGTCTTGGCGATCTAGAACACATTTTAGCTGGTAGCAGAACTGAGCCAGGTTCTGTGCCCCTGTTTAGCACCTTCTGTTTGTGAGATGGGGAGTAGAACCTACCAGGCAGTCACAAGACCAACCTACCCGGGTCAGCTGATCCTTTGTGTGTCATGGCATGAAATATGAATATACCGCCGCCTTTCTTCGAAACCTGCTCCTGGAGGCCTCAGCGCCTTCTCTTCCAACTCAGAGACCACCTTCCACCATCTGCATTTTATCCTCTGCAGGTTGAATGGCTCCCACAGCAGCCTGTGAAGACATTGCTCAGCTCGGCGGCGCCTCTGAGTGGTTCTTAGGACTAGGGACCAAGAGGCGAATGTCCCAGAGAAGATGGCGGGAACAGACACTACTGCCAGATGCTCTGCCCAGCCACTTGCTCAGCTCGCTCCTGTGATCACACCACTCCACATCCTCCCAAATGCCGCCCAGTGGACCAGGTGACTGCTGTGCCTAGAATCTCTCAGTCCTCTGAAAATGGCTTCTTTCCTGGCCACCAAACGGGAGTAAACAATGCCATGGAGATTGAAACCATCATCAACAAGGCCACTTGCTAATTGGGAAAGGTATTTTTCTTTTCTTTTCTTTTCTTTTTTGAGATGGAGTTTCGCTCTTGTTGCCCAGGCTGGAATGCAGTGGCGCGATCTCTGCTCACTGCGACCTCTGCCTCCCAGGTTCAAGTGATTCTCCTGCCTCGGCCTCACAAGTAGCTAAAATTATAGGCATCCGCCACTGCATCTGCTAATTTTGTATTTTTAGTAGAGATGGGGTTTCACCATGTTGGCCAGGCTGGTTTTGAACTCCTGACCTCAGGTGATCTGCCCACCTCAGTCTCATAAAGTGCTGGAATTACAGGCGTGAGCCACCCTGGCCAGAAAAGGTATTTTTCTTTATCAAAGAGGGTAAAGAACTATTGATCAGCTAGTAATTTAAGTCTATGTAAACATACAACATGGGTTACTAATGCTTTTCTTTTTTTCTTTTTCTTTTAAGACGAAGTCTCGCTCTGTCGCCAGGCTGGAGTGCAGTGGTACAATCTCAGCTTACTGCAACCTCTGTCTCCCCAGTTCAAGCGATTCTCCTGCCTCAGCCTCCCAAGTAGTTGAGACTACAGATGCACACCACCATGCCCAGCTAATTTTTGTATTTTTAGTAGAGACTGCATTTCACCATGTTGGCCAGGATGGTCTCGATCTCTTGATCTCATGATCTTCCCATCTCAGCCTCTAAGAGTGCTGGGATTACAGGTGTGAGTCATTGCACCTGGCCAAGTTGCTAATGCTGCTCTATTATTTTCAGTAATAATTATAAATTAAGGAAAAGGCAAGAAGATTTGAGGATTTTTCTCCCTAAAGATGAAAGATGGGTTGTATTCAGAAGCTCTCAAAAATTAGTAAGAAGTATTATGTTGAAAAATATATCAAACAGTGGGAAAAAGTCCCTTCGTGTTTTTTTCCCTAGCTATTAATTGTTAAAGTCATTTTCTCAGGCAAAATGCCCTGATGAACTGAATCCTCCCACCTGTGACCATGCATGTGACATAAAGTACCTGGTGACTGAGCCTGTTGGAGGTCAGCATCCCCAAGGTGTAAAGAAAGAGATTAGTCCCCGCCCCCAGCCCGCCCCATGGGCTTTCTCACTGCAACCATTGCTTACAAAAAGGGTCTGGCAATTTTATGTTTTTATGACCCCATTTCCAGCAACAAGTGGCCTATGGTTGCCCCCATTTTCCTTGGGTCATTTGCTTGGCTGCTGAGCTGACGAAGCTGCCATGGGCCTTCCGCTGACATTCAGGGTCACTGATGCACCACAGCAGACAGTTTAGAGAATGGGCTCAGCCTCGTTTGAGTGACAACATAGCTGCTGGGTGCTTGGGTCCCACAGCTGCTTTGTGGGTGAAGCCGTGCCTCAGTTTCCTCATCTGTAATATGAGAGTACTTATACCTACTGTATTGGATTGGGTTTCCTATCTCCCAAGAGCAGGACCTGAGTGAAGACTTGGGTGCAGGTGTATGATATGGACAGGGTATTAGTTTGCTAAGGCTGCCAGAAATGATGACCACAAACTGGGTAGATGGAAATAACAGAAATGTATGTCTCAGAGTCCTGGAGGTCAGACATCCAATATTAAGGTGTTGGCAGAGTCATGCTCCTTCCGAAGGTCTTAGGGGAGAATCTTCCCCTGCCTCTTCCGTGGTGCATCTGGGCTTAGAGCCTCGTCCCTCCAGTCTCTGCCTCTGTCACCACATGGCCTTCTTCTCCGTGTCTCTTATAAGGACACTGTCATTGGATCCAGGGCCCACCCGATTCCAGTGTGATCTCATCTCCACCCTTAGTTACATCCACAAAGACCCTGTTTCCAAATAAGACTGCATTCTGAGGTTCTGGGTGGACATGGAATTTTGGGGGAATGCAACTCAGTCCAGCACAGGGCTCATGGCTCCTTTCCGGTACTAATCCCGGATTTGCCCCATGTTGACCTTTAAGATGGACTAACTTAACGGATAGAGACGTGGACATCCTAGGAGGGAAAAAGAGCATGGCACCATTCACCTCCTTCACCATTCACCCCAGCCGAAATGTCCCCATGCATCATTTCCAAGCAACTTGACTCCACCTTCAAGACTCAGTCGTCCCAGACACAGGAAGGATCTTCAAGACAGCTGCAATTCTCAAGGTGATGAGCCATGTGAGGATCTTTCACTGGGGGAGGGGGCTTCACAAAGAATCTCTGCCCAGGAATCCTAAGAGGGATTCAGGAAGGAGTGCCTTACCAATGAAATAATTTTCACAGTCAACTGCTGCCGCTTCTGCCAAGGTTTGACGGACCTCAGGGGCGTAACTTGTTTCCAGCCGTGCTGGGTACTTCCTTGCAGCTCGTTGCCCCTAGCCCTTGTTTGGGGGGTGAGGTGCGGGCATGAATGGAGAGAAGAGTAAGGTCACCAAGCTGCAGCTCCCTGAAAGGGCAAACAACCTGAATTTCACATTCCCTGGAATAAGGAGCCTGAAAGGTATAGCAGGGACAGCAAATCAAATTTGGCCCACAAGCTGAAATTCCCTGTCAGATACGTGTCTGGGCAGAGTGCTGGATTAGGGAAGATTCCAAGGCTCATCTGGGCTAAGTGAGCAGAGCCGTGATGCAGTTGAAACATGCCACAGACATCCCCAGGGACTCCTCAGGGCACGTGCCACCAATGTGTCATCCCTGGTGAATAGCTTTTTTCAGGACAGCTTTTTACGTGTGTTGTTGCCAGACACAGGTGACAAATTAAAAACATGCAAATAAACAAAGTCATAGAAACGAGCTGTTTCCATGCTATCACTCCTTTGCCATATTTCTAAAGACATCTGGTTACTCAATGTAAAACCTTGTGATTTTTGAATCATAAATTTTCAGCGGCAAGGCACTGGGTCTATTTATACTCCCTGGCTGAGTACATGCCCGCCATCAGTTGTGTAACTGGGATTGCTGGGCCGGGGCCAAGCCTGAGCTCAGCTAGCTGGAGCTGGGGTGGGTAAGTCAGTAAGTACTGGGGGGTGAGGGTGTTCTAGTCCCAGTTCTGCCCCAAAGGGCTGCCGCATCGCCTTGGGTGGTTCATTCCAGGCTTTGGCATCTCAGCTTCCCTGTCTCTAAAATGGGAATGACAATGCTGCCCCATCCTGCGTCACAGGTTGGAGTGAGACGGTGTGAGGGGGTGTGTGGAATGGAAGCGTGGCCCCGGGCCCAGCTGGCATTGTCCTTTAGAACTCATTCCTGCACATTCTGAGGGCAGTGTCGTAACAAATAAGAACGTTTGCACGGGGCGGGCATTGCCTAGGAAATCCGGCTCTGATTGTTAAAGACATCTGGAAGTCTCTGGGGCCTAATGGTTCTGAGGATGCCAAACAAGGAAACAAGACCAGCTAAAAAGTCAGCAGTGGCCTCCAGATGGGGACAGGGAACGGCCTGTGGCCATGCCTGAGCAAGGCTCAGCTGTTTCAGGAGTCGAACTTTCACTTCCTTGATACCATCTGCAGCAGCCCAGGATGGACCCGCCAAGGCCATCTGACCTCCTAGCCCCACCCTGAAGGGGCCTGAGAAATCACTCAGTTAAACGTTTCCCTGTTCGCTTGTTTTTGTTTGTTTTTGAGATGGAGTGCAGTGGTGTGATCTCGGTTCACTGCAACCTCTGCCTCCTGGGTTCAAGCGATTCTCTCACCTCAGCCTCCTGAGTAGCTGGAATTACAGGCGCCCACCACCGTGCCAGTTAATTTTTGTATTTTTAGTAGAAACGGGGTTTCTCCATGTTGGCCAGGCTGGTCTCGAACTCCTGACCTCTGGTGATCTGCCTGCCTCAGCCTCCCACAAATGCTGGGATAACAGGCATGAGCCATCGTGCCTGCCTTGTTTGTTTTTAATGAGGAAGCAGAAGGAAAGTCATTTTTGCAAGGATCCCAAAGCTAATTAGTAGCTGAAAGAGGACAAGGACTCTACTTCCCAGATGCCAGGGATAAGAGTACACAGGGAGCCAGAGGGAAGCACAGGAAAGAACCCTCTTCTTCCCCAGCAAGAGCTGGGTTTGAGGCCAGCCGCGGTGGCTCACACCTGCAATCCCAGCACTTTGTGAGACCAAGGTGGGCGGATCATTAGGTCATGGCCAACCTGGTTAAGCCCCATCTCTACTAAAAATACAAAAAAAATTAGCCGGCATGGTGGTGGGTGCCTGTAATCCCAGCTACTCAGGAGGCTGAGGCAGGAGAATCGCTTGAGCTTGGGAGGAAGAGGTTGCAGTGAGCAGAGATCACACCGCTGCACTCCAGCCTGGGCAACAGAGGGAGACTCCGTCTCAAAAAAAAAAAAAAAAAAAAAAAAAAAGAGCTGGGCTTGAGAGACGAGAGGGGTGTGTTATCGGTGGGTTCCTTCCTAGCTAAAGGAGTTGTCACTTGAGCAGGAGAAAAAAACGTGTGCGATTTCCAGTTTTAAATCTATTCAATCCAGTCAGTAATGAAATCAGTAAGAATTCTTACGACAGTCACAAGTTATGACAGCAGAAGGGCTGGATGTTCCTGAGATCTAAGCTGTGCACAGGAGGCCAGTGAATGTTGTGGTTAAAGGCTGCAGTAGGTTAAGCTCTATGGTATAGCAGGGAAGGCAGTGGACCCAGTCTGCCCTGGTGCAGGCAATGACGGGGGACATTATCTGCAGAGAATTTAATAACACTAACAAAACCATCTAAACACTGCTCCACTGGTTGGCAATTCTAAATAATGTTAATGGCACAGCAGTCCTCTCCCGTCATCTTTTGCTGGTCTAAGTTCTAAACAATCATGGTTACT